TTACCAACAACGGAAGAATGTTGGATTCGTTTGCGTTGTTCGGCACTACAATCCGGCTTGCTCACTCGGTTGGTCTTCATCGTCACCCGAAGTACCTGAATCCTGCTCCTACAAATGGGAAAGACTGTGTAATACGGCAGAAGATCTGGTGGCACATGCTGCACCTGGATGAACACATGTCTATGACCCTTGGAAGACCTCTGGGAATAAGCGGCATTGGTGACAATCCCTGGCCGACTGAATTGACAACCGACCCGGTTTTATTACGATTTGGCGAGTTCGTTAACCACTTCACGATACTGGCCAGACAGATAATGAGTAGTAACCCCTTGACGAACGCCAGGATCAATGAGTTCACCGATATACTCCGAAGATTACTAGATACGATACCTGAAACGCTTCAGTTTCGTGACACGTGGATGCTTCCCGAAACGCCTCTGCCGGATTTAAGCGCCATAGCTACTGGTACGTTTCAACACTCTTTTGCCTGTATTTTGGTCCTCGTGCTCAACAGGTACGATCTTGCCATCGGAAGCCTGCACCTCGAGTTGGAAGTATTGGACGCAATCCCGAATCGCAGAACCGTGAGCGGCTTTTCTGCTGTTACCCCTTCTAGGGTCCAAAGAAGACGTCATCTGATGTATGCATTCGCTCACATGCTGCAGTATACTTCTCCAATGCTCATACTTACATCCTTCTTCTGAACCAACAGAAAATCGAGAAACATGCCACTTCTGCGACAACCTCAACTGGCAAGGATAATGTATTGCCATTCCAAGCTGCCAACCGCGCGTCCTCCTTGGACTTTTCACGCGAAGCATATTCAACACAGACTGCACCTCGCGGAAGGATGCTGGTACTTGCTTCATCAGAAGCTCTTATCTCTGCTTTCATGTTCTTCCACTACAGAGACCCAGCTGCGCTGATCGATTGGGCGATCGCACAACAGGCCTTCAATGGATGCATGATCCTCCTCTTGGATGCATTAGAATGCCGAACCGTTACCACTGGCGCATTCAAAGCAGAACAAGCGTTCGTTGTCTTCAAGGAACTGTACGAGAACAGCGTCCACGAACTTGCAGGGTTGGCTGTAGAGAAGCTCAGTCTTTGCTTGCAGGAGTTGCACAGGCTAGTAACACTGTCGTCCGACGTCCAATCGCGTGGACAGAGGCATACGGCTATGCAAGGGGCGCGGCACAACGAAGCAACACGAGCTTCGACTGTGACTGACACAGTGATGGGTCACACTGGAATGTTTCTACTCGAGGACATGAGCCAGCAAACTGCCGCGAACGAAGTCTCTTCCCCGATGGCTTGGAACGATCCCGATATTGCCACCCAGACCGAAGAACATGGTCATGCAGGTCTACATCGCGGAGGTACATACAAGAAAGAAGCAGCATCACCCACAGATTCTGTCGCCAACGCTCGATACACAGACGGCATGCAGGGCTTGCGCAGATCGACCACGTTGCGATCAGCGTCCACACGATACGCGACTCTGTCTGTGGACGATCATATGCAGCCACATGGTTACACTGCTCCAACCTCGCCTGCAGACTTTTCGACGCTGCATGATCATCAGCTGAAGAACACGATAGATCATCGTGGGTGGCAAACGTCCCGAGGAAATGAGAGTAGCCGTCCGCTTCACTTATATACCCAATTCCAGAAAGTCGCAGCGCCAGGAGACCCGCAGCACGACATGTTTTGGCATCATGATTGGAGTCATGATGTACCCGAAGGAACTCAAGAGCGCAGGGCCCAATCCTCCGCCTGGCCACAAAGGCATAACTCATGTCCCGCCGTGCCTCCAGTCAACATTCATCCGCCAATTCTCAGGCCAGCTTTCTCCTCACCAGATGATATCGACAGATCCACAATGGCGCAAAAGTCGCTAAACGCGCCCATCACCTCAGCCGAGCTGACATCTTTCAACACATCGCAAAGCTTTCCCCAAGTTGCCGAGACGAACCCGTACGCCCCTTTCACTCCTCGGCGCCCAGCACCATTACAGATGTCAAGCATTGCGGAGATTACACCAGGCTTTTCATCAACCGTTCTGGGAAGGTTTCATGAAGAGCAAGGGCAGATTAGATCACAAGCCGTGATATATCCGTCAACTATCGCTGCGTCGTCATCGCTCACGCCTATGACAGAGAACATGAATATGAACGACTGGAATAGATACACGGGCAGCGAAGGCCTGGAGTAGGGTATCATCTGACCGGTACAGCGCTGCCTTGACCAGACTGCGAAGGCGCGGGCCATTTATTGATGAGATGTATATTTGGTATCGGATATGAAGCTTTTCAGCTCAACATCATAGCGAGTCAGAGTGAAGGATATTCCTTTGCCTTAGTCACACACATGCCACTGCTTGGTTCGGCATATAGTCATGTGTACCAGCAGACAAGATTACTGAACCAAGACTGTTGACATTATCCTCCTTCTTTCCCCATTTCCTTCTTCAGGCCTAGTAGTGTATCCAGCACTTCGGTTCAGATAGCATCTTAACCCGAAGCAACTTGGAAGTATTTGTCAGAAGCAAGCCCACAGTCTGGGTTAGGCGGCTTCCAGCGAATATTCGCTGGAAGCCGCGCGAGGCTGGATGTACGACTGGCTGGTATGCTCTCATAACGATTGTAGTGTGTGAGGAATTTGGCTCAGATAATCAAGATGACAACCTGTGAGTGAGAGGATAATCCCGTGCTGCGTGGACCCATTACGCCACAGCTTTACCTGACATCCACACTCTCACAGCCATGCATTCTCCCGTCTCCATCCCGCCAATCACAAGTTAATCAACCCTCGCATACAACAACATGGGCACCACATGCTAGTCACGTAATCCCGATAGTCTGGAGTGACAGGCTGTCGGAACACGTCTTCAGGATCGAGGCCCCCAGAGCCGGAACCGCTGTCTGAATATCGGTGAGGTACGCGCGAATGCTACGTCGCACAGCAGCCAACCAGCCGACAGCCACACGCAGCAAAGCGCTCAACGCCGATAATTGCACATGCTGCAGGGCGCCGTCGATAACGTCGCCGATCTCCACTGCTTCGAGCTGTGAAGGCGAGTATGTTGTTCCGAGCATTGGACTTGCGGTCATCCTGATCGACGGAGGACTTGCTTAGGGGCCAGATTCGCGAACTGCGGTGGCGTGGAGACATGACTCGAGTCGACACGTGCGACGTTGAGCCTCACTCTTTGGCGATCTGCGTTGTGCGCGTGGATGCTGGGATGTGTTGGTATTGACACCTCGTGGTTTGCGCTGATCTTTTGGTGGTGGCGAGTCGAGAAACGCTTTTCTCAGCTTTCACCGGGTGTTTGCATTTGCATTTGCAACGCAGCGCAACGCAATCGCGTCGTCATAGAAGGTAATGAGATCTTTTGCTGCAGGTGTGGTGTCTACCGGGATGTCTGCACGCGCTGACAGTACGCCTCTTGGACTGCTTTTTTTCTCCTGCAATCCACATACACTGGTCCAGCCTGAAGCGGTAATCCATACATGGACGCGGGGGAATTTCGCCGTCTCGTGCCAATGTTTGAGTACGATGCTAGGGCGTACTTACATGATCGTGACCTCCGCAGTGTGTCTCTATCTCGACTGGTCGGTGTAGGCCATGTTGAAGCGGGAGAGGTAAAGTAACACGACGTTTGTGTGCTGATCTGGCCTGATGACTGCATAGTGTACGTGCAGATATCTAGCTAGTGTAGCCAAGACCTTTTCACGATTATGCATGTGCAGAATCTGGTACACGGGCGCGTATTTCGCTAGTATGTGTGAGTCTGGACAGGTCGGATACCTCAGAATAACATGGTCGGTGATAGCGTAGGCCCAAGTCTGCGTTGAATGGGTAGCTTCCTTCCACTCTAATCCGCAGCAACTAGAACCAAAACCAGGCACACCGTCTACAATGAAGTCGAAGTACTGTTTGTCGAAACTGTGAAGTATGCCTTAGATGACTTTGTTGAGCATCACGAATGCATTTCGATATTGCAGTGGTCTTCAAGTGCTGGGTAAATCAGCCCTTATTTCCTTGCGCTTCAACGACTGTATAGAAACTGTGTCGGATTCCCACGTAGCAAAGAAAGATAGGTACCCTGATATCCCCGTGCTATGAAGCAGTCAGAGCACAAACGCGAAACCAGTTGGCGGGCACATGCCACTCACCGAGACATAATGGAGATGGATGGGTTGCCGTTCACCCTGAACGTTTTGGCAAGGCTGAGCTGCTGCCTAATCGTCGCAAGAACGCGGGAAGGATCGGAGTAAGCACAACACCTGATGCTGTTGGTCGGCTGTCCGACAGTGCCGATGGAACTTCTCCTCGTCAAAGAGAATGTTTATAAAACCATGTTCTATCGTGGTAATGATGTAGTCAAAGTGCGCACGTCCGATCCAATTTGCCGGTAAGATAGAATACCGCAACACACCTCTTTGCCGAGTGTACATCACAGGATATCCCATCATATCATACACAGCTATGAGCATAGAAGAGCGTGGAACTACCACTCACGGAGAAGATACCCGCGAATGTCGATACCCCTTAGGAAATGATACCTCAGACACACTGACGCTTCCCGACGGACGCAAGCTGGGTTACGCACAGTACGGGTCGCCTTCTGGCCATACCATCTTTTATCACCACGGACTTCCAGGGTCTCGCATCGAAGCAGCTTCGTACCATGAAAACGCTCTCGAGCTGGGCTTACGGATAATTGCGGTCGATAGACCTGGAATCGGCTTGAGCACGCCGCATCCCGAACGAACATTGCTGGATTGTCCAAGAGACCTACAACGTCTCGTTGACCGTTTGCAACTCGAGAGCTACTCTGTCCTGGGTGCATCTGGAGGAGGCCCCTATACTCTTGCATGCGCAGCAGCACTTCCAGCTTCGCAGCTCAAATGTGTATCCGTTGTATGTGGGGTCGGACCGATGGACATCGGCATGAAGGGAGCAGACTTTGAGCACCAGATTGGCTTTCCGTACGCATGGAGGTACGCGCCTAGCTTCCTCATCAAATGGTTCTTCAGCCGGGATGCTTTCGGGCGCATGGATCTGAGCGACGAGCAGCGTTTACAACGTGTGCTAGACCCCTCAAAGCTCGCCTCAATCAAGGATCCGAGGGATCGCGAGATCATGGCAGATGAGGATCTCATCCGCCTGATATTACGATCAACTCGAGAGGCGAGAGCGCAGGGGTTCGACGGTATAGCGTTGGATGGGCGAACGATATGTAGTGAATGGGGTTTCCGGGTCGAGGACATCAGGAAGGATCTGCCGGTGCAGTTGTGGTATGGCAAGGATGACTGTTTCGTGCCTGCCCATCATGGAGTGCAGATTGCGGCGAGGCTGGGCGGTGACAATGGAAATGTCGTTTTGAGGGTGGAGGATGATACGCATACGACCATCTCGCAGAGGTGGAAGAGGGCGCAGCTTGAAGCTATTGCTGCCGTGATGCAGGGGTGAGGCCCCGGCGGTGCCAAGCCCGTGCTGCCTCGGCTGACCCACCCTAGCCTTGCACTTCGGATTATCACATCTTCGCTCAATTCTCAACACCGTGTTCCTCGTCCCGGTTCTTCCAACCCGCCCTTCTCATTGATGTAGCTCGACCGCTTGATTGGTGTAAACTCATCTCTTGCTTTTTCGGACTTCCACTTCGCTGCGCAGCCTTCTCATCTTCGGGCTTCATGAACCATGATTTTGCATACTCCCAAAGATCGATGGCTACTGCCCAAGGCCTTCTCCCGTACACCAATCCGAGTGCGACCACAACGCAAACGGGTATGCCGATAGCCCAGAGATGCCAAAACTTTGGTCGCCCTGGGCGGAAGTCGTCGCCCATGCTGAAGATGCCAGCAAGCAGGGTGAGTGGGAAGACGATGGATGCGAACAAGCTGAGACGAAGGCCGAACTCACCGTCTGAGACGCCTCTGAACGCTGCCCGAAGATTTGCGAGATCGTTTGAGACGGAGTTCAAGGCTTCTGCACGATCGCGCAAAGGCTGCATCCTTGTGTGTATCGTAAGGAAGTCTTTTTGCGCGTCTCGGATCGCGAGAGATGCATTCGCGTCGACACTTTCGCAGCCCAATTGCACGCCTAGGCGTTCCAGGTTGAGGTACATTGCACGCCAGAAGTGGTTCAAATGTCGGCGCATGTAGTTGATGTCCTTGGCGATCTCGTTGATCTTCAGTAGGTCTAGCTTCCATTTCTGTTTACTCAAATTGTCGTCGATTTGAGCTTGATAGTCATCGGAGAACCATTCACCCCTGGCGATGGTCGTATTCATAAGCTCAAGTTGGTTGACCCAGTGTTGAGCGACATGTTTTAGGAGGTAGTATGCTGCGTTGGACGATTTCTCGTTCGTCTCCTGGATCAGCTCGGGAGTAGCAAGCTTGGTCCAGTAGAACACCATTTCATCCATGGCACTGGTAAGGTTTCGCTTCTCCCGGAAAACTGGAAAGTTCACCTCTTTTGTCCCCAAACCGACTTCGGAGAACATCAGTGGGGCCAATGTGGAACATCCGTTATGGTACGGCCAGCTCTGATGTGAAGTCTCCTGGAGGGCATGGGATGCGCCCCAGTCTTGAGCTCGCCAGAGTGCTGACCTGCTGTCAAACGGCTCTCCGGCTTGTAGAATCAAGCAGTCATCCAAGGTTTTTCGGGTATTGCTGTCGAGTTTGATATCGCCCACCATCTCACACTTGCTCCCTGCCTTCCCCGCCGTCGATGAATCATCAGCCAACTTTGTCGATGGTTCTTTGCATGTCGCAGCAAACGCAGGGTCAACCAAAAGAACGGCTAGAGCCAGCGCGAGTTAGCCACAACCCAAGAAACGAGGTCGACACAAGAAGCTTACCATCCCATCCCAAGCCATCCGGTTTCCCGTCCGGCAGAAAGCTCTGCGATGTCCAGAACGACGCGCACCGTCTTACGAAAGCATGCCTTCGGTCAGGCTTGCCTAACGAAGGTATGTCGATATCCTTCCACCTTTCGTACCTCCGGCGATTCACAGCAAACGAGGTCTGTAAGCTCAGAACGTCTATCTTATCGGGATAGAGCAAAGTGCGCAGCTCGTAATAGCGCAAAGTGAATGACTGTCCAGGCACTGACATCGATGGCAATCCTCTATGGGGGATGGACCAGGAGTCAGTGAAGTTCCAGGTATTCATTTGCTCGCTGAAAACCAGAGGGTCGACGCCTAGATGATGGCCCAGTGCATCCACATAGTCCGGTTCCATATCTTCAAGGATGAAGAGCCGCTTGTGTCTCTCCTCACGACTCTTATTGGCTGGCTTCTCCTTGAGGTACTCTCGGAGCGCAGCAGCGCTTTTGAAGCCACCTTTTTCTACCTCCACGACGCTTTTGGCCTTGAACTCCAAGCAATAGCATCGGCCTGGCGTACGTTGATGCTCTTTCTCGTAGTGTTGCCTGACAGCCTGACGGCCGGCTTCTCCGTCATTTGCTAGCTTTTCCAAGAAGGACTTGAGCGCTGGGAACGCATCCTCGAGCGTGTCGAGACATTGCAGATAGGGCTTTCCCTCGAAGCGGGGAGGAGGACTGGTACGTTGTCCGTTTTGTGCCGATGAGTCGGTCATTATGATAGGATCTTTCGAGAAATCCATCTTGATAGCCGGACAATAACACAATGGAAGCTGACAAATACTTATAGCGGGCCAAAAGAGCAGGTTGAGAAAGAGGACTCGCGCGATCAGCTCCTTTTCCTGACCGGATGCTGACAGGATATAAAGGCGCAGTTCAGCGCTGCGTTCGAACCCCCTCGCGCATGGTGGCTTGCATACAAGTCCCCCTGGATTGGATACACCTTTTCAATTATGCGACTACGTCGCTGTTCTCAGCAAGATTTCGGTGTTGCGGCTGAGCATGCTGCGCCCACTGTGGCTGCCTCAGCTGATAACCCCGCATAAACCCAGCCGCACTTCTACATGGTACCGGAAGCAACGATATTCTTCAACGACCTTGGCCTTTCCGTCGCAACTTCCCTTTCTCGAGCTAAATCCCAATTTCAAGTGGATTATCATGGCGACTTCAAGTTCGTTTTCCCCGTCAGGTACCCCGTCGGAACACCCAGCCTCGCAGCCGCGGAGTATAGCAGAGCCTTCTCCCACCGATTTCTTCGAACATGAACCACTCGATCATTCGCAGCCTTCCATAAGGCTGCTCAAGATATCACCAACGCTGTCAGCTGAAGGTCTCATCCAATGTTCCATATCGCATACGACCATAGACCATGCGCCCTATCGTTGCTTATCGTACGCGTGGGGCGAACCTGAACCGAAACAACTTGTATTGATGAACGGAAAACATTTCTTCGTTCAACCGAATCTCTTCGAATACTTGAAGGTCACCAGAGCCGATCCTGAGCGTACAGCTCATACATATTGGATAGACGCTGTTTGTGTTGATCAAGAGAACACAGTCGAACGGAATCACCAAGTCATGCAGATGGGGAGGATATACTCCGGGGCCGAAACGGTCATTGCATGGCTGGGACTTGCGTCGAAAGAGACAGTTCTACATCATCATGGAGAACTACAGCTGAGGTACAGTCATCCTTCTACTTGGAAGGAAAGAACACCCGTGCGGGAGGCAAGAAGAGCAGTAAACAATGATCTACTCGGCAACGACTATTGGAACCGAGCATGGATCACGCAAGAACTCAAACTTGCGCGCCACATCGCCGTTGCAATTGGGTCATTAACGATCACAATACATAGGCTTCGGGAAATGCTCCGTGGCCTGCCTGGCGATACGCGTGAAGCAATCGGTCGAATTTTCGCGCTCATTAGCAGTCAAAGAATTGTCGGAAACCCTCTAGCAAGCCTTCTATTAACATTTCGTGACAAGAGATGCAGCATTGCCAGAGACAGGATCTTCTCACTACTTGCACTATGCTCTGAGACAAATGCTATCACAGTCGATTACGCTTGTTCGGGTCTTGAACTGGTGTACTTCATCATGAAGAGCAATGAGCATACCCTCTGCGCTTGTTCCGCGCTCGTCGTTATGCAAAGCCTGGCGCCCGAAATCGACAACCTCCCGCCCAACAGCAACTGCCAAATCGAGAAGGGACCGTACATTGAGATTGAGACAAACGGGAATGATTGGGTACATATTGGGGAGGGAAATGGATGCGTCGTTCTTAACTACATTTGTTTTCGGGCCTTTGCCACCAAAGACACGAGGTTACTACCTGATGCGACCTATTGTGGGCAGGAGCATATCGAGTCGCTTACAAGACAGCCCACGCCAACCAATGCGTACTCCGCGTGTTCAATAGAACCAAGAGATATGCAACCTCCCGGTAGAAGCGTTGCTGCGATCGGCCCAGGGCGGGCAAGAATCAGGATATCTCTTTGGTCCCTCTTTGATCTATACGGTAAGGATAGCCTACAAAAGAGACGAATTCAGCTTTGCCCGAGGTCATGGACTGGGAATAATGAATCCATGACTTCAGTTCGTGTGGGTTATGGCAGTTGGGACATTAACGCTGCTGAGTCTGCATCAGAAGAGTCGGCGTTCTGATGACGAACCCGCGGGCTAAATAGTATAGATGTTCGTAAATACCAGGCTATAGCACTAATACATACTCTATCGAACACACTTGCTCACTCCAAGCTCTTAAGAATAGCAGGCAAAACCTCCACCTCCGTGAAATCCCAAATCGTGCTCGAACTCCCCGAAGCCCAATTCGCTCCCGTCCAAAACGTATTCGTCACCCCTTGCAGAGCCACAAAACGCTTGTAAAAGCCATTCTTGATCTCATCGACCGAGACGCTCAATGCGAAGGGAGAGTGATTGTTACTAGCCTTTATCGTCGTAGATTGATTGGCAAGGGGCAGGTCAAGCGCATCGCGTATCCTCTGGACCGTGGCGAGGATATCGGAGGTGAAGTAATCGTCCGAGGCTTCCTCTGGAGTGGAGTACTGCACTGAGTAGAGGTTGTCGATTTCGGCGGTGAAGTAGTATGCGCCCGGCAGTCCGGGGATCCCGAAGGCGGCTTTTGCGTCGTAGTTGTACATAGAGACGCCCTGAGGGAAACCGGTGTTGGCCACGACTGCGTTCCAGTAACCGCTGCTGTTGAAGCGTGAGAAAAGGTCGGTTTCTTCCTTCTTCAGGTCGAGAAACTGATCAAGAAGGGCAACTTTAGGGGGGATGGTCATAAGAAGTTTCTTTGCGCGAATGGTCTGGGTGCCTGACGGGGTTTGGGCGACCATGGTGACGCATGACGGGCTGCGTGTGATGGATTCGATGATGGCACACTTCACAACAGAGCTGTTGCCCGTCCCGAGTTTCTGTTCTGCGGCATCCCAGAGCGCCTGCTGGTTGTGGTTTGCTTGCGAGACTTTGGTCTTGTCTTTGCGAGCTGAGACTTGCATGGGATTGAAGAGCTTCATCACGTATAGGGTAGGCTGGGCAAGGATGTTGCCCATGCCTTGGAATTGCAAGAAGCCATCATATGCCAGCGCGCCCAGGTCGTATTTCCGCAGGAAGTCACCCCAGGGCATCAATAGGTCCTCCGGAACAGGGTCAGGGAGGTGGTATCCGCGGAAGAAGTCGCCTGGGTACTGTGTGAGAAGAGCCTGGTACTTATCCAGAGCTACAGCGGAAGCGTTGGCGTCGACGACGGGCCATGAGGGCCCGACGACCGAATTTCGGAAATTGACTGCCTTGGGCTGGCCACCAGGCTTGAAACGAGCTAGAGGAATGTTGAGGGAGTCGAACAAGTGTCGAACGGTAGTGGTATTGACGAGGACTTGGGTGCCGTAATCGAAAGTCTCGCCAGTCGCTGTGTCCTTGTAGGTGTTGGTATGTCCACCCAGCCGGCACTCTTTCTCAACGAGCGCAACCGATTTTCCAGACTGCTGCAGCCGGATGGCAGCGTGAGTGCCACTGGAGCCTCCACCGACCACGAGCACGTCGTAATCGTATTCATTGGCGGTAGCCAAGGAAAGGAGACCGGGTGCCACAGTCAATAAACCTAGCCGCTGTAATTGTACCATGGTGGCAGAGAGTCTTGGGGAAGAAAAGGAGAGGTATGTGATGCGGGAAAGAGAAAAGATGTGACTTTGGTACAACCGATCATAGGTCTTAGATGAGGCGGACCGAAGACGGGACGACGGCGCTATTCACCTAGTGTCGGCGAATATGTTTGTCGCCTCTATGATGGCCTCGGGGTATACAAATGAGAGCTAATTTCTAGGTTTGACTAATAGTCTTGTTACTACATCAGCGGCTGGCCTACTCACCGCTTCCTCATTTGTAGCCAACGCCTACGCGAATGCGAACTCGCCTCGACCTACGGCAGATCCATCACCCTCATGATACAACACTTCAAAATCGGAAACGTTTATCTAATGGGTTGGATGCTGAGTTCCACACCCATAGGGCTAGCAAAGGACGAGCGAGTTCTGAGGCGCGTTCGCGCGGGTAGCATGGGACTGGCTTACGCGTTATTAGCCGGTTTCGAGTACGGAATGAAGGAAGCTGCATCAACATAGGTGTTGTATCGAGATGAAGTCGCGAGATGTGGCTGCCACAGAGGGCATTGGGAGGCTGGAGACGGGAGACTAGGAGACGTGACGCGCCGAGATGCGATATTGGGAGTGGGTCGAGGATCGCTACTGGACTTGCCTTACCAGCCTCGCGGGGCTAGCTTAAGACCCACTTCCATCACTCTAGTCCGGTGCCTGCAAGCAGTCGCAATAGACGCCGCCGACGTCTTCTGGTCATCGCACTTGAACCCTAAAGCGACATTCCTGGTAATGCTTCTTTGCAATTCCTCACAACCTCGATGCAAGAAACATCAACTATTGAATACTCACAACCGCAGGGAAATGGATGACTCCATGAAAACAGCAAGATTGAGATTACAACGACCATCACTGTAGTAACCAAAGCCTCCGGTTGCTTCCCACCATG